CGAGCCTCTTCTACAAAGGAGACATTTGAAATTGATATTCCGGCCGCTGGGATTAATCTAAAGTACTTACAATTCCTTTCACTTAAGAGGGTTTCTGCTGGAAAGTGTACGAAAAATGGTCAGTTTTCATGAATCTTTTTCTTCTATACTAAAATATTTACACAATTCTTGTAAACCTGCCTTTATGATTTATCGAAATCGAAGAGAAAAAAAATGGCGGTCAATTGAAGGGGAATATTGAGTTTCAAATAAAATTTCTTTTCCGTTTAATCTTTCGTAAGATATGGAAATATTACTACCGTTTTTATAATTCTGATAGTTAAAAGTTAATCTGCTAATTAGTTTTTGCGAAATCATATCAATCGTTTTGAAGAAAGTAAGTAGATTCAAGAAAAACATGTTTGAAGTTTTTAATGCAATTTATATGCTACCTGATAGAATTTCTCATAAATTCTTTCAGCAGAATACTCTAGAACCTGCACACTAACCACAACCTAAAAAAAGGAACAAATCGACTTCGAAAAATATTGAACTCGAAAACGAATACACACGATTTATATATAAATCGAAAATTGGTGAATTAAAAAAGAAATATTTTTCTGGAAAATAATCAAAATTGCTGTGTAACTGATGAATAATAGTAATGTTATCAAAGGGCACACATTGTAAACAATTTGCTTTATATTAGCGGGAAATATCTATCTGTCATATCTTTATCTTGTTGATAAAACAGATTTTTATCTTGCATTGAAAAACTCACCAGGACAATTATAACCTATCGTATTGTGAGACTTGCTTGCTTATTTTAACAGATATATGTAATAACATATTAACAAATGAACATGGAAAACTTTTAAACGTGCTTCCATTAATATAACGAATGAGTGGAAATTTTGCAAGAAACTTGTGTAATGTATAAGTCAGCTTAAAGATAATAATGATTAGCAGTTGTTTAAAAAAATTTCAATGATATTTTGTAAGAAAATAATCACAGTTTATCGTAAAATAAACAAGCATTTCTTCCTCAATGTTATTAACTTGCAGCGCAATTTGATTCCTAAAAGCTTCTTTTCATTCATTCATATAAATAATAAAAATTACTGTAAACAAATAAAAATAAATAAAAATTTCGTTACGAGTAAATACTTTCCTAAATCTATATTTCCCAATCGTATTCCCTTCATCACTATATTATGTATACTAAAAATCTAGTCTAACTCTTAAGATCTACATACGAATTGCGACAGATGTCGTTTCGAAACCACATTTAGAATACCTAACCTAATTAACTTCTTTGTTGACACTGAAACCCCTGTTATTCAAAAATAATCCGACAAACTATAACCGTAAACGTAAACATCTCGACGAAACATAGAAAATCTAGGTTATCTCCCAGACATCTTAAAGAACGTACCTATCCACCACTATCAAGAGAATCTGGTTATCCCATAAAGAGTTACAAGTACCATACTCGATGAAGTTTATAGTAGACGAAGACAATTCACAGAACGCTGGGGTCACTGTACGCTGTGTACATCTATGTACACCATAGCATGTGCACCACAATGAGCAGAAGAAAAGCAGAAACGCCAATGACTATGACTATGAATCTTTCTATCTAGACCAACTAACGTTTAATCATTACAGTTACAGTTACAAATTATAACAACCTTTAATTCTACGCGCTCCTCGGATCATATATATTCATTGTATTCATTATTCCTCACTTCTGTGTTCGTATCTTTCAGCAGCAAATGCGCAACAACGTGTCCAACGTCTGTGTTTAAAATAAGAATTAACCACAGTCTGTAACCAGCCAAAAAGTCTCGAGAATTAGCAGCGTGAATGACACTAACACTTCGCCCTTAACCACGCGAGAATCATGACTAATAGAGAGGGAACTCAGAAGGAAGAAGGAGGGATAGGGATCGGAACAGAGAAATAAGAGTACAAAGAAGGAAGACAAAGAATCTCGAAGCTTACATAGTGAAGTCGCATCGCGGAACGACTAATAACACGCTTAATCTACCTACATGTATACAGCCTTATCTCCTAGAAGGAGAAGAGAGGATGGTTGCGGATACAGTTAAGTAGCGGCACTTAGATCCACATGTTCGTCTTTCACGAGTCGAGTTTCGAGCAACTCGCCAATTTCGAAGCCGATATTAGATTTCAATAGTTCGATGTATTAAAATATGATACTAACCGTGATGCAAGAGTTACAAATTCAACCGATTCCCACATTAATCTACAATGACGCAGTTGGAGTTTAAAGATAATAAATTTCTAAAAACTAAATATCCGATGTAAAAACCAAGTCATCAATCTAGTATGCATTTAAAACATGGAAAGACATTAAAATGCGATCTGCGTAAAAGCATTAAAAGTGTGAAGTTATCCACTAAAAACATTTGACTAAAAGTTGCAATTCTAATAATCGCAAAAAGCGAAACGATGCGGACCTTATAAAAAATGACCGCGATAGAGTTGATGCGAACCTTACAAGAAGTGACCGCGATAGACTTGATGCGAACGAATTTAGAGAATCAGCCGTAGTGCGATCGGTTGTGCAGGAACAACGGCTCGGAAGAACGAGTGACGTACGGGCGACGAGCTCGGGTCCAAGTCCAGCGATAGCGAGCGAACCAGTCACGATTCTGGCTGCCGCCGCGGAGAGGGTCTAAAAGAGAATGGAGCGGCAGACTGCGAGAGACGTGACGAACAGTCGCCAGCTGGTAGCCGGTCTACGTGGTTCGTGTAGTCCAAGAGTCGGAACGTGTGTGCCTTCTCTTTTATTTCCTTAGTGCGTACACAGCCGTGCACACGCAGAGAGCGAATCGCGCGCGATAAGCGCGCTGCCTGCTTGTGACTCGCTGCTCAGCAGAGAGGAGAGGAAACGACACGCCACCACGATACCACGATGGGTAGCTGTCGCTGACGAACGCGTCAGCGTCGGACGACCGTTTCGATTAAACGGTTCGAACCGAACGAGCTCTCTACGTCACGCTACGCTTCGATGAGACTGTATCTTCGGTAGGATGTCGTCGGTGTTTTCGAAACTGATTGACAAAACGTCTGCCAAATACGGACTCAAGCAAGAGTACCTGGTTCATGGCGTAGCCGGCGTCGCTGCCACGCTCTATCTCCTCAAGCTTAGTTATCCGTTGGTGATTTATGGCGTGAAACAGTACCAAAAAAGGAAGAAAGAGACCGAGAACAATGTGCAACCATCGAAGAAGTATCGACAGAAGAAGAATGCTGTCGATAACAAGTCGAAGGATAATGCCGGGAAACCCAATGTCGGTTTGGACCGGGAGTTTATCAAACAGCTGATCGAGTTGTTGAGGATCATGGTTCCCGGATGGAAAACACGAGAAACCGGATTACTGACCTGTGCAACTCTGACACTTCTAGCTAGAACGTTTCTATCGGTGTACGTGGCCACTCTAGAGGGTCAGATCGTAAAAAGGATCGTGTTGAAAGATGTTAAAGGGTTCACTTGGATGCTCGCGAGATGGTTCGCCATCGCGTTACCCGCGACATTCGTCAACTCGGCAATCAGATATTTAGAAGGACAATTGGCTCTTAGCTTTAGGTATTTGTATAAACACAATCATAATTTATTTGTTTGTGTGACTTATAAACAAGTGTAAAATTTCTCTTTTGTTTTCAAAGAGGACGACTAGTACAGCATGCTTACAAAATGTATCTGAGTCAACAAACCTACTATAGAGTGGCTGCACTGGACAGTAGACTTGGTGGTGCAGAACAAAGACTGACAGATGATTTGTCTGCACTGGCTAGTTCTGTGGCACATCTTTATTCAAGTTTAACCAAACCATTGTTAGATTGTGCATTGGTTGGCATTGCACTTATCTCATTTTCAGCTAACATGGGAGCAGGAAGATTGCAAGGTAACACAATTAGCAAACTGTGAAACATATGAATAATAAGAGGATAGTTATTTGAAAGTCAAATCAAGCACTACTAATGTGTATTTGAATTTCATTTGCATCATTTTATAGGACCACTACTGGCAATTGTAGTAATTATTCTAACTGGACAAATTCTACGTCTTGCTTCTCCTAAATTTGGTCAATTAGTGGCTGATGAAGCATCAAGACGTGGAAGATTAAGAGAAGCACATGCTCGTATCAGTGCTCATGCAGAAGAAATTGCTTTCTATGGAGGTCACAGTACAGAACATCGGTATTTGAGTACTGCTTATAAATCTTTGATTTCAAACTTGAAAAGAACATTGGCTGTTAAATTTTGGTACGTGATTCTGGAGCAACTGCTTATGAAATATGTATGGTCTGGCACTGGGCTTTTAGTTATTGCCATGCCTCTTCTCTATACCAAAGGCATATCAGAAAGAAGTCATAGAAATGATGATGATGGTATGTAAATATTAACATTGAAACCTTTGTAGTATATTTTAAAATATGTGAAATAATGAATCAATTTATCCATAAATAGGTGGAGTAAGTGAAAGAACCAGATATTTAACAACTTCTAAAAATCTATTAAGCTCTGGAGCAGATGCTGTAGAAAGACTTATGTCATCTTACAAAGTAAGATTTATGGTTACATCATCTTCAAATATTTGAAAACCAATATGTACTTATAATTATTCTCATTTATTGTAGGAACTAGTAGCATTAGCAGGATATGCAGCCCGAGTCAGTGAGATGTTTGATGTATTTAAAGATGCTGCATTGTGTAAATATAGAAGGAATATTGTTAACAGTTCAATGAAAATAGCAAATGGTACTACTAACTATGACTTAGACAAAATAATTGAATTAAAGGATGGCACACCAATGATAAAAGGTAATTTTCTACAAAAATGTGAGATAACAATAATTCAAGCATATTTTATTGAATATGAACTTATAAAAAACATTCGTAACAGGAATTATACGTGAAAGTACAGATGGCAGTATAAGTTTAATTGATGTGCCAATAATTACACCAAATTGTGAAGTTATTGTACCTAGGTTAACTATTCATGTGAGTACACTTACTGTTTAAAAATTATAAAATTACCAAAAAGATGACTGCACCATTTTACTATTACAGATACAGCCAGGCGATCATATACTAATTACTGGTCCGAATGGCTGCGGCAAGAGTTCCCTATTCCGAATAATCTCTGGCCTATGGCCAGTCTATGGAGGCACCTTAATAAGACCAGCAGATGATTGCATCACTAGAGGAGGAAGACCTGCCTTATTTTACATCCCACAAAAACCGTATATGACTGTTGGTTGCTTGCGTGACCAAATCATATACCCCGCAGAATCGCAAACAGAAGATTGCTGCGACGAAGATCTCCTGAAATTGTTAGAAGAAGTCGATTTACGAGGTTTAGCGGAAAGGGAAACAGAAGGGCTCGACGCTTTCGGTGACTGGGACTCCACATTGTCTGGTGGAGAAAAGCAAAGACTCGCGATGACACGTCTGTTTTATCATAAACCGCAATATGCATTGTTAGACGAATGCACCAGTGCCGTGAGCCTCGAGGCCGAAGGAGTGATCTACGAAACTGCCAAAAGGAAAGGCATAACCTTGTTAACTATCACGCATCGCGTGGCTTCTCTCGCGAAATACCATAAATTACTGTTACGCTTCGACGGAGAAGGTGGTTGGACTTTCGGTCCGTTGGACGCAGAAAGTATAACGCATCTAACGAGTCAAGCTTGCGAAGAAAACGACCAACATGAAGTGAAAGGAGGCCGCTATCAGATGTTACACGTACGTTCGCGTGTCTTTTTTTGCTGCTTCAATATGAAGGGAATGGTGCAACGAGCATGTTTCAAATGTACTTCGGTATTTTGCTTTTGCTTTCAGGAACTCCGTGACATTCATACGGAGGATTCGAAAGTTGGAATTAGCTGAAGAGGAGGATGGCGGCGAGATATTTTGTATTGTTTCTAGCGAATTCATGTAGAAATTTATGCGATTGTACATAGATTCTCGAAGATGCGTTTGTACAGTGATTCATAACTGTTTTCGAGTAAATACTCTATTTTTGTATGAGTAAACGTTGCTATTTAATGACACAGAATATAAATAAATGTTGTTTAAATACCTATGCTTTGATACCTTTCTCAATGCTCGTTTTAATTTATGTTAATTGTCACCTTTGTTCGCTGCTCCATTAACATAAGTGACATCATAATACTCTTTCCTCCAAACGTGCATATTTAGTAATATTGTCATCTTTATCTTTTAATGTTCTTTGATTTAGGTCTAATCTATATGAATTTACAATTACATTTGTTATGCATATAGAGACATTAATAAGATAATTTTGAAGACAAAAGAGTAATAATAGTAACTTAAAACATCTAAGAAATTAATCAAAAGGAAATTAAAAACGTGAATTTCTAACAACCATGCAGGCAATAAACATAACTTTAACTTGCAAAGTAAAAATTATAATGAAATAAGGAACTGAATCTACATACAATTTCTTATCTATATGCATCATGTAATTTCAACTAAACAGATATTTTAAGTTTCTTATTTTTATCTAACTACGATATAATCATTTGCATCTAATAATAATACGGAAAACAACTAACGAGGAATTATTCGAAACACACAATCTACTAATTACATTCAAAATATATTATCAAATTCCGCGAACTATAAATAAATTCATGACTGATTATCTTCCCAGTATCGCTTACAAATCAGCGCAAAAATTCTTCCCTTATCGACCGGTGGAAAATAACCTCAATTTATCAATACCATCATTATCATATCAGTCTATTTACGACTCCATCTTTGTACTTCCTATAAATCCAACACAGACACCAATTAGTCAAAAATAACCTTTAATATTGTCATTCGAAGAAAGAAAAAAGGTAAAAGAATAAACATGACGAAATAAACGATGAAAATAAAGACGAAGGAATAAGAAAAATGGAGGAAAAGGGGGAAGAAAGGACGCGAGAATGAGACAGGGAGGATCCCGATTAAAAGGCTGGATCACGGATTAAAGTTCCTTTGGCGGTGGTGCAGCTGCGGCCAGTGATGTGCCGTGGCGCGCACATTAATTTGTGCCGGACAAAAATTTAATTACGTGTGTTTCTTTGTTTTGAAGGGCCAGCAAAGGCGGCGGGGGCGATGCCAGGGGAGGGAAGACCCACAATTTCCGATGAGCTTACCTCTGGGAAACCCTGCAAACGCCAAACGTCGATACGCGCCCGGGAGCAGCCATCTTGGGGGGTTGTATACCTCTCTACGATGTTCGAGCTAATGCTTTAAAGCAATTCCGGAATACTGGCGCAATTAGACGCGACTCTTCTTCCTCTGCGATGTTACAGGGACGCGTAGTCGTCTAGTCTCCTCTTTCTGTTGACAATTTCATACATTTTCCAATCTTAGAATTGATAGAACAGAATAAACAGATAGTTGGGCGTTATTCGAATAATATTTCATTCTTCGTTCGGTTTCAATTTTTTATTCGTTTATACGTTATTCGAAGAGGAAACTTATTTATTAATAATAATTATTTTTGGTTTATATTGAAGAAAAAATTTTGTATTCGTCTTTTTGGCACTTTCGCTCTTCTCAGACCTTAAAACGTTACCGTTTTAAAGTTTCAAGAAGTTATCGGTGTACAATTGTTTGTTTTTTAACTTTTGTTACTTTGGTGTTGGGAAGAAGTTACTTCGAATAACGAATAAATTTGATTTTCAACAGTTTTTCTCTGTTGATATTTTTTTACACGTATGTTCTTTATTGGTTGCCATCTTTGTTACTACAGTATACGATTCATTGTTTAATTTAAGATCGTTCAGTTTGTATCCTGAATAAAGCTACAAGTTATCGTTAACAAACAAAATGAATTATTTCTTTATTACTTAACGAAAGTAATCTAAATCTACCGAATCTGAAATCCATTTACTCTAAAAAAGTAGAATTATACATTTTCCGTTTCAATGGTATTTTTCCCTTTGCAGTAAAACAAAAGGAATACTCTATTTTCTTCCATCATCAAAACAGTATATGTAACTTCAAAAACAAACCAACAATTACAACAAACAGCTGAAAAAACTAATCTTTCAGAATGTGAATTTCACATATTTCCCCACAATTACCCCTCATATCATTTAAACCAATCAGCCAATCGTTCATCAACCCCCTACCAAGTAAAATCAAAAACCTCGTCTCTCCTCGATATCTGAATCACCGAAACAACCCTTTCTCTCCTCTGTTTATTCAAAGACCAACGGCCACCGTCGACTATTCTTAGCCAAGGCTGCAGTTGCAAGCAGCAATTTAACCACGGAACATCTTCAGCTGGTGTCGAGTTTCTTATTTTGAGAAAGGGTTGAAAGAAGACGTTCGACTGATGATCGTAGACGCATCTGTTCGTGGTAGCCGGCTAAGAAAATAAGGCGAGAATCATCGGGATGATTAGCGAAGAGAAGAAGAGCATAGCCCGTTCGTAACAGTTTCCTCAGGAGGATTAAAACCTTGTCCACTTTTACAGCTCCGACCCCTCTCTACCCTCGTCGAAATAGCCGATTGAATTACACGCGGCGCGTGCCAGCCGGCCGCCACCGTCACCGCATACGCCCAAGATCTTCACTGGAATAAAGAACGTAATAAGCCACTATCCGATCGCTATCTTGTCATCCGATGGGATTTCGAGCGACAAAGAGGTCCCTTGTGTTTGTAAATCATCTCTTCGTTCCGCGC